GAGTAGTGTAGGGTATAGCGGATGGGGTTCAAGGCTAAATATGAGAGTGGGCACTTCAAAAGTTAGCCAACTTAAGGCCAGGTGTGTGGATCAGTCATTTTGTGTGTTTGGGGTGTAGTATAAGACAAAACCAACAAAGGTGATGTTACTGATTTCACTGGTCATGTTAAATAGAAACTGAACAGTTACTGAGAATTTCATACTAAGAATTCCATACTCTTTTTCAGACTTACTAACATGCTGACAAAACTGACCACATTGTGTGCCCGAGTGTTGCAAAATAAATGTACACATTCATTTTATTCAATCATTTCATCCAAACAGTAGAGAAGACGGTTTTGTATGACTCAAAAGGGGTCAAAATTCTACAAATCCAGCAAAAAACAGGACCATATGCATGTCAGGTTAAAATAACAACCCAATGGTTATCTCCCAGGACCAATTATCTAGCAACAGCAAGCTAGCTAAATGTCCATGAATGTGTGTTTCAACCTGACCCCAAATTAATATAGGTGGTTCACAGTTGGTTTTGGTATTTTAACCTGTGTGTCATGAACGCGTCTGGTGGAGATAGACGACATCAACATGCACGCGCAGAGTCGGTCTGGTCAGCATGTCCGTCATAAACGTAGCTTCTTCATTTGATATATCTGTGCATGTCTTGTATAGTGTTAAAATCTACCCCATGCATGTGAGTGAAAAACTGCTGATTGGATCATGAGGGCAATGCATGGAGTATCTGTATGTATGTAGTTAATTGTGTGTGGCTCTACTAGTTCTCAGTGGCTGTGTTTCACTAAGTGCTTGGATGTCAAGCTGGCAACAAAGCCCACGGGAGGCTGTATGAATATTTCACTATCCCTCCCTTTCTCTCTCTCCATCCCCCTCGCCCACTCTCTCTTTGACCCATCTTTTCTTCCCTCCATCTCTCTGACCCACTTCAGTATGGAGGTCTCCAGAGCCCATTAAAGATGCCAGCAAATGGCTGCTTAGATGCAGGATGCTGTTCTGTCTGGCTTTCAGAACAGGAGTGAGTGTTGGGCCAGCCACTGCAGCCCTCTAGCAATCAGTCAATCATATTACCTAGGAGAACAGGACAGCCTGTTCACTGTACTGTTCTATACTGTTCAATAACCATGTCCTAACTCTTAGGCCTAAATCCACTGTTTTGGTTTATAATGGTGGATTGAACACAGGGCTTTTGATGTGCATCAGATTTGAGTTGTTATATTTGTCCTCTACGTGTGTTTATATTATATTGAGTGTTAACATCAGTGTTACTGACACTAATATACAATATGGGCTCATGTATGACTAGCCTAGGTTATATGTTCTCACTCTTTATACTGTTGTTTTGGTTTCTGAAGCCCTCCTCTCAGGCTGTGAATCTCCCGGCCTCTCCCCCAGCCTCCCTCCCGCTCTCTCCTCTTCTCCCTGTTCTTAGCTGTGGAGCTGTGAGGCATGCTGACCTCTTCATTTCCATAGTGTGTGTGTGTAGTAGGCTATCAGGGTTGGAGAGCAGTCACTTAGAATGGTAGACAGACAGGCAAAGGTAAACATGTTGTGTAAAAAGTGCCTCAAAACATTTTGACAGAAGTGACCTGCTTAGGCTAGCTTAATTAGAAGAAATACCAGGATGTTTCTACATTCTTCTCAGAAACACAAAGACATTAGGCTTAGTTCCACTGTCTTGGTCTATGTTAGCTTTGTTACAACTTCCTCTCTTGTTTGAACCTCCGCTTCATCATACTGGCACGTAGGGGAATGACATGTTAATCCAATGAACATGCCGCTATTTCTCGCCACACTCTCACTGTGGTGCATCTAGGAATCTCTCGGACGGTGTGTAATGTGTACGTGGCAGTAGTCTAGGCCTTTGGTGTGCTGCCTTGCTGTACTGTCTGCTCTGTGCTGGGCTGACCCAACACAGGGTGATCTTCTGTCACATGCAGACTGGTGTCTGGCCTGGGATGGACTGAGCGCCAAAAGCAACCCTACTCTGGCTGGCCTACCTCTCTCTCTCTCTCCTTAACCAGGGCCCCATAAAATCTGTTGTGGACGGAATCCAGACAATAAAACAGAATTCAACAATATTCAAAAATGTATTGAATTTATTAGAAAAGAGTTTGCCCAAGTTAATCATAAGACATGAACTAAATGCATCAGTGATTTATATTTTCCTGCAACTTTCTGAAACTGTGTGTGTGGTGCACGCATATGTCTACACTTTGTAGCCACGTTAGCGACGATGCTAATGATAACCGTCTTCTGGTAGAGATGGCTTTCCCAAAAACGTTCTCAATTAAATGTTAACTACAAAGTAGCCTTTGCCTGCCTACCTGGCAGAATGATTTCATGATTATTTGCATCAATCCAGTGGCCATTTGTTTTGCATACTCTGCAATCACATGAGCAGTTAAGAAACGTTGCTAACCAAACAACAGTCTCTTGCTGGTGCACACTTGCATTAAAGGGTAACTACACCCCAAAATCTAAATGTCTTTCAGCATTGTTGTGGAATTAAAACGTCCCATTTTGTTGTTTTTTCTATAATAATAAAAACAATTTGAGACTGAAAAACAGAAACCTGGATAAACAAAATGAAGAAAATGGAATTTGGGGAAATAATAAACGGATTATGTCATGGGACCCCCATTGATTTTGTTGTGTTTGAGTCACTCAGATAGCGTAAGAACATGGCATAAGCCATGGCAAAATGTGTAGAATTTGTAGAAAATTAGCTTTAAAACAGAATTTTTTTATTACCCCCATGAATGTGTAGAATTGTAGAAAACTATACACATTTCTCTCCTTCCCATGGCGTGACCGCACCATTGTCCACACAGCCCCCCCCCCCCCCCCCCCCCCAGACATTACTCTCCCCCTCTAGTCAAGTGTGTTTTTTCCATCTTTGAATGCACTCAATGCTGAAAGAGGCCTATACACTGTAGAGTGTCGTGTAGACCTTTATTGTGACGTTTCACACTTATTTTAGCTTTGTAGGCTAGCCTAGGCTAGTTGTCCTAACAGCGAATGGTTTAGTATAAAGGGCCAACAGTACATTATGTATGTGCTACTCTGTCCTTCTGAAATGTTCACTTCCTGCTTTGATATTAATTCAGTTTCCTGTCCCTTTCACCAAGCAGAAGCTGACTGACCTCACGTGTAAAGTAGCACTATGGAAGATTAGCTGTTTACTTACTGTAGTCATATTCCTCAGTCAATGTAAAGAACAACACTTGGACTCTGTAATCTTATGGTTGGGCCAGTGTACTCAATCTGCACATCATCATGTAACTAACATGGACCTATCTACTTTAAGATGGATGTGTGCAGGCCCAGGTGGATTGTAACACAGAAACAGGAGTCATTGGGGCAGGCAGCTCAGAGACTATCAGTTCCTGTTCTGTATTTTCACTGTGGTCCTCAGCTCTGTGGTGTCTGAGAACACACACACACAACACAAACGGGTTGCATGTGAACACGGAGTTGAACTCGGCTTTAGGCTAATGTGTGTAGACAGAGGTTTGGGGGGCGGGGCGCGTGGAGGTGACTTATCTCCCCCAAAATGTGTCGTTCAAGCGTTGTGAATGCTCACGGTTAATTGTGGTCATACTCATCATGGCCCAGTCTGCATATCTAAATGTTGCTTTAGACAGGACCCCAGGATATTTCCTTCAGTGCTGTATTTGACTGTTGAGTCTAAAGTAAATATAATTAAAAGAAGAGGGCAAGGCTTATCTCCCTGTCCAGTCCTGGCTACATTGAAACACAGACGTCCAGACCACATAATGTAGGTTTAGTAGGCCTATCAGAAAATAACCTTCATTTAAACCTCGACCTGTTTTCTTGTCAAACTATGGTGTTTGGAAGCACTGAGATGTTCCTCGACAATAGTGTTTATCAGAACATTATTGATTTACAACACTGATCAACTGGTGCGGAATAATTAGTCTGCTAGGCATTGATTTAAGGCATTTTGGGGTTTTAGTGAGGAACTGATGCACATCAGGACCATTTTAAAGAAGAGGTTTGTTTGAACCTGAATAATAAGCCCAGTCAAAGGCTAAGATAGAAAGAACGCACTACATTGGAACATGAAAGCAGATTAGTTTCTACCAGACACTTCTGGGAGGAGCCTACTTGGTATGACATCATTGTCTCCTTGCCCTCAACACTTTGCTCACTGCT